ATATACATGTAAAGTGTTCTTCCATTTCAAAATATGCATCTTGGTGTATTTTGTTAAATGTTTGTAGTACTAATTTTCACCATAGTTGTTTCATGTACACAACGTTGTATTGTTCTCTATGTAGGGCATTATTAGCAGGGTCAGCTATTATTGTTGCCATGTTATCTATTCTTTGATATCCAGTGTGTTTGCTTCTAGCAAAGAATCCTGTTGTTAGTAATTCTTTTGGTATATAACTTTGGATGTTTCTCATGAATATTCTATAGAATTTTGGCCAGTTTTGTTTGTTGAATTTTATTCCTTCCATGAATTTGGTAAAGTCTATTTTTTCTAGAGATGGGAATTCAGTTGATGTTTCTGTAAATGCTATTTTATAATAATATTTTTTTTGGTATTTTGATTGGTTCTACATTTGTGTATGTACAAAATCTAATATAGTCTTCTAGTTGTAGTCTGTCTGATTGTAGTAGTAATAATAATGCTGTTAAGTCTTTTGTTATGTAACAGGCTATTATTGCTCCAGCTCTTTGATTATCAGTTATTGAGCTGTTATGTACTCGTATTAGTGCTTGTTGGATTAATTTTGTATTTCTGTTAAATTTGTTTGCGTCAAGGTATACTTCTTTGTTTACTTAAATAAATATAGATTTTTCTGGTGTGTTCAAGTTTCTTGTAAAGGTTTATAGTATCTCATATATTATGTATAGTAGTAGTTATCAAAAAGGTAATATCAGTTTAGTATTTCTCGATAGTTAATTCTCTTACTCATTTAATTTGGTATTTCAATTGTGTTGTTTTTATTGTGTCTTCTAAGTTTAGATTGAATTGTTGGGCTATTTCTTGCAATTTTTCAGTTGGTTCATTAGATCATATTGTACAGATTAAATAGGTTGCTTTTTTTATTTTTGTTAGTGTTATTAGTTTTTTATTAGTATATAGTAATTTGATTCTTGAGTAAAATAGTTGTTCCATTGGGTTTAAAGGCTAGTATTTTGATTGGTCTTCTGGTTCTGCTGGTTGTAATAAGTTTTTCAATAGTTTATCAAAATCTATTGTATAGTACACCCTCTCAAATTCGATAGGTATGTAGACAGCTTTTGTATCGGTTTTGGGAGGTTATCGAATTTAAGATACTAATGGTTTACTGGTCACATAATTATAAATAAATATAATTGGCTAAATGATATTTATTGTATATCTACTTG